GAAAAAGGCACAAATACATACAGACACTTTTGCCCACACATTTAGGGAAGGTCACAGCTGCCTTAAAATGCCTATAGGGACTCTGTGACAGGGACTCAGAGCTGGAAAGTTGGTTTATGTGTACTTCTGTTTCATTAGCACCCCCTACCTTTCATTGAGGGGTCATGTCTCTATGCCCTCCACTCCCCGCCCATGTGGGGAATCAGCACTGTTGCTAATATGTGCAGCATGCTATACACTGGCCACTTCGTGAAGCAGTTTGCTTATTAATCATTATAAGACCCCCACTCAGAGGTAGGTGATATTATGTTCATTTCACAAATGAGGAAACTGAGGTTTGTAAGGGTGAAATAACTTTCCAGAGACTATAAACAGGCCCTGGATTTGACCCTGAGCTCTTAACCCCTCTGCCAGGGTTTCTCAGTCTCAGCACTGTTGACATTTGGGCTGGACAATTCTTTGTTGGGAGCTCTGTCCTGCGTATTTGTGAGATATTTAGTGGCACTGCTGGGCTCTAGGCACTAGATGCTAGTAACACTCCCCCACCTGGAGCCCTGATTACCAAAAATGCCTCCAGATATTGCCAAACGTCTCCTGCCAAAAACCATCCCCAGCGGAGAGGCACGCTCTGTGGTGCACTCCCTCAGTACCGTAGTGAGCCGCTGCTGCTGGGCAAGGCCGGCTGCTCTGCCAAGTCTGAAAGGGCACGAGGGAACTTGAGGACCGTCACCACAAGGCCTCACATCCCCTAGGTAAAGGGATTCAGAGGGAACAAACTATAGGCCATTTCTAGCTTCCTAACTATAAATTCATAACCTCTAAAAACTCCACATTGGGCTTTCTTGGAAATGCTCATGTGCAGTTGAATGACTCCTACATTTGGCTATAAAACGACATAAAGCTGTTGTTTCTTTGAAAAACCTCTTCTACAGTCCAAACAGGCCGGTACCAAAATGATTTGCAGTTGAAATCGCTCCAAGAGGCCAAGATCTGAGGGAACACAGCTGGGATTTGAAGTGGGATTTTAGACAGTTCCAGTGCTGTGTTCAGTGAGGTTGATCTGTGGCATAGCTAAGAGCAGCCAGGGAAGGCAACAGAAAATGAGCATTTTTCACTGTTGCCACTTACCCTTGGGTTTCCCGAAGTATATGAGACAGTTGCTAGATCATGTTTTGGTGGACTGGGTACTAGGAAATGGAGGACTAGGAAAGTACACATTGGGTTCTGTCAGGGTGGGTGTGGGGTTGTATGAGTGGGGGTTGTTATCAGAAGCTCTGTTTAAAAATATTTTGGTGGTATAAAGCATGAGGATGTGGTTATAGGAAGCTTTTAAAGTATTATATAAAAATTAATATTAACAAATGCTTTGCTGCACACTTTGATACTGGTGGTATCTCTTGAGAAGATAATTGAGATCGAAACCTTGATCCCACATGTCAAAGGTTCCCTAGGTACCTGTTCAGTCAGCATATGGGTAAGTATTTACAGTGTGTCAGGCACTCTGATCAGAAGGAGAGCTTTGCCCTGAACTAGCTCACCATTTGGAGTGGGAATAACCAATACCTGGGAAGCCTGGCTGTGGCAGTAATATGCTTAGGTGCTTGGGGGGCACACAGTCTGGACAGCTCATCGTGGGGCTCAAGAAAGACTCCTTGCAGGAGAGGAAGTCTGAGCCCAGACCTGGAAGATGAGTAGGACTTAGCTAGGCAGAAGTGGGGGCAGATTGTGGAGAAGCAGTCAGGGGAACAGCATGCCTTGAACAAATGCAGATACCCGATGCAAGGGAGAGGAGATACTGGGGCTCCCTCAAGGATGCAAGTCCACAGTCTGGCTAGAGCAGCATTGGAGGAATGAGAGATGGGGTGGAGAGGTGAGGATGTAAGAGGTCACACGAGGACAAACGCAGGACTGTTCTGAGACTTGTGCACACCTCAACACATCTGAACACCCCATCACACATCATATCAAACATATGAAATTGTATCCCCATCCTACTTTATTTATACATAACAATGAGTTGAATTGTAGTTAGCTAGTTAATACATATGACATATTCCAAATTTTTCTTTTTTGTATTTCAGAGCCAGTAATTCTTTTTTTCAGATATCAAACATTTTCAAAGGGTCTGGAAAAGCTGACATGCTCTCGGCACCATGCTTATAGGACCCAAGAAAAAACATGTTTTAAGTTCACAGGTTTTAACCTGCACAAACCTAGTAACTGCTGCCCCCCCCCCCCCCNCCCCCCCCCACTGCCCAGTCCTTGCTCCTTCCCTTCCTGAGTTTCGGCAGAGCATGTGAGCACTCAGCTAGACAGGCCCCAGCTTCTCTTGCACTATGGGACAGCCATGTGACTAGGGTTTGGCCATTTGGGGAATATGCAGAAGTGACACGGGAAGTTTTCAGTTCACCTCCTTAAAAAGGAAACCAACCACCCCTTTCTTCTCTCCCCATGTCTGCCCACTGGAATGTGGATGTGGTCTTGGTAACACAATGTTAGCCACATAGATGAGGATCATATCCCAGGGAGGTGGTTCTTGAACTTCAGCAGGCATCAGAGTCACCTGGAGGGCTTATTAAAACACAGAAGACTGAGCCCCATCACCAGAAATTCTGATCAGTGAGTCTGAATCATTTCTGACAAGTTGCCATGTGCTGCTGATGCAGCTGGTCATGGTCTATACTGAATACTATTGACCTAAGGGATGGTGGAGCACAAAGAAGATGCTTCAGTTTCTGGATTACCTTACAGAGTGGGTCTGCCTTCCACCTGGATGGCTCATTCACCTGAGAGAGAAATAAATTATTTATTTTCAAGCTTTTATAGTTTTTGGTGTCGTTTTTACATCAATTTTAATTACAGGAGATAATCCATGTTAAGGAATTAAACTCTACCAAGGGGGGAAGTATAGTGTAGTGGTTGAATGTGGGGTAATGGGTTTAAATCCTAGTTATGCCACTTCCTAGCAGTATGATCTTGGGCAAGTTATTTAACTTCTTTAGGACACAGTTTCCTTATCTTTTAAGTGGATTCAAGGCAACAAGATCTCCTAGAGTTCACTTACTAGACCATGTTTATTACCAGGACCCCAGAATTACCTGCCCAGTGGCCATAAACATGCTTCCACGATCTGCATGGACCTCTTCTCTGGCTTTGTCCTTCTAATGGCTGACTCTGCCTTCCAGCCTGTGTGACAGGAGTACAAATGGGACCTGATGCACTGGCTGAAGGGTCCTATATTAAACATGAGTCTCCTCTGGAATGTGATGACAGAGCAGGGCGGTGGGGGTGGGGGATAGAAAATGTTGGACTGTGGGCTAGAGGCAAGCTGAGTTGTCACATTCCAAGAGCATGGACCAGCCTATGAATCTGAGAATTCTAAACTTGAGCCCAGATTTTCAGTTGTCGTGGAAGTCTATTAGTCAGTCAACTTAGGGGAGTAGAATCATATTTTATTTAATAGTTCAATAGCTTGGTTTATGATTTAAAAATATTTAGCCATATGGTATGTGGACTCCTGCCCTAGCTGGCAAATTTAGAGGTACACCTGGTTACCTGGTAGGCTTAGACTGAGGATTAAATAAAACAATAGAAGAAAAATACTCAAAACAATGCTTGGTGCATGCACATGGTATAGATTCAATAACATTGGCAGTGATGATGCTTATGATTCTCCCGAGAGCAGTAGGGAACTAGTGCTTATGATTCTCCCAAGAGCAATAGTGGCATTTTCTTTGTATATTTTCCAATAAATATTGATTAAGTTTCTACTATGTGTTTATCATTGTTCTGGGAGCTGCCAATAATAGTAGTAATAAAAGCAAAGTTTCTATTGCCAATGTACGTTGGTATGGAGGGTGGAAAACAGATAAAAATAAGAGTATTTAACATATTAAGTGATGTCTTGGGCTGGAGAGAGATAAGATTGTAAGTAGATTTCAGTTAGGAGCTTGTTGGGATCATTTACAGAGGATATGATGGTTGTCTGATTTCAGGTAGTGGCAGAGTGAATAAAAGTCAGTGAACAAATTTAAAAGACATTAACATAGTAGAAGGATGATGCTTGGTGATTGATGGATGTAAGGAATAAGAGAGAAAAGGGACACTCAAGGGTGAATTAAGACTTTGATTTAGGCATTGAGCTACTGGTATCCTGGGCACTGAGATTCAGAACCTAGGAGAAGGAGGTACTGGTTTGGACAGAAGATGAGGGGCTCCGTTTTGGATGTTCGGACTTTGAGATACTTATAGAATACCTAAGTGGAGATGTCTGGTAGGCAATTTGATGTATGGGTGGACCTTTGACCAACTGTCTCAGAGGTGAGAACCAGAAGCAGCGTGGGGTGGGCATTTAATGGGAGGAAAGGAAGTAGAAGCAGAAAACAAACACTTCCACCATTAAGGGAGTTAGCTTGTGTAGTCAGCTTGGGAAGAAGATGGAATGCTGGGCAAGGCTTTATTAGGCTGTGGTTACACTGGCATTTTTGTAAGACCAAAGAAAGGAACTAGGGGTGAGTAGAGAGATGGGAGGTGTATCAAAAGAGGTGGTTGATGGAGCAAGTTCCTGGAGGTATGAGGAAAGAAATGCTAATGAAAATCCCTGTCTCACCATGGAAAAAACCAATGAAATCATTTATACAGCCATCCATTCACTGATTCAATAAGTATTTATTGAGTACTTCTATGTGGCAGGCACTGCCCTGGTGCTGGGAATAAGACAGAAAAAAAAAAGTCTCACTCTACATATTATGTAAGTTCAGTAGCTGAAAACGGAAACCAAAACCAAATGTAAACAAAATGTAGCCCCTTGCCAGGTCAGGGCTGGAGAAGGCATGGTCTTGGCAGAAGCGTGTGTGACTTGCATGGCACTGGGGTCTCTCAGCAGGCACCTTGCTATTTCCCACAGGCAATAGGTAAGGCAGCATCTGGGACCAAGGATAAGGAATTTGAATATTCCCCTGATTTGAAAGGAAATTTTTATTTCATGACAAGTTTTAACTACAAAATAATTAGCAAAATCTCTCTGTAGGCTGGCTGTGTTTGGTGTGTTCAAAGCCTCAATAAAGAGAAATAGCAATAGGCAAATGGCCATGTCAAGTTCTCCTTAACCTCCATAAACTTGATATCTGAACATTCAATCCTCCAAAGAACAAAGCTCTGGAGCTTATCTTAAATCCCCCAACTCACATAGTTCCATCTGGATGCTGGCCTAAATGAACTAAATCCAGCAAGTCATGCTTAGCCCTCTTCCCATTTGAGCTCTTAACAATCATTCACTCACACTATTCTTTGAAAGAGGGAGAGGAAGGCAGAGCAGTCAGGATTTGCACTTCACCCTGAAATGTTACCCTTAGGGACAGACCAGAAAGGACTCCTGCCTTATGGTCCAGGACTAACGTACACATTATATAGAATAGGTATATTTCAAATGTCAGAACTGGGGAAGAGAAATATTAAATTTATGCATGGGGATTCACAGAAAGTTTGAACAGAAAGGACTGTGGAAGTCACTGAGTGAAAACTTTTTTGACAAGATTGAAATGATCCATCACAAAGCCAGCTGGTGGATGCTCAGCTTAGAACTTGGGTGTTCTGAAACCCCACCTAGCATTTTGTTTTTTTCCATTATGCCATGTGACTGCATTCCATAGTGAGTTAAGTTTTCAAAAAAGCGATTTTCCCAATGAAAAATGATTTACTGTGGGGATGACTTTTATGGAAAATTTCCCATGTGGAATGGTTATATGAATACTTTCATCAAAGAAAATTCCAACATTAAACTGCACATCTCCACCTAAAGTCAACTGCAAAATAAAAGTTCTTAAGTAAAGAGCCATCTTTATCATTTACACTGGGAGTTTCTAGGTTCCTTGCTCTCCACTGCCCCCGCACCCTGCAAACCCACTTTTAACCTGAACACTTCATTTCTATTCTCTTAACAATTTCATTACTGAAACCCAAGCCAAATTCTGTAAAGGAGTTTGGTGATGGGAAAAACATTGAAATTATGATTTAAATTAAGACTTGGGGATTTTCTGTGGATAATTACCCATGCTCCACCATACCAAATTAAAAATGAATTTCAAATTAGAATATAAAATAATTTTCTCTAAAGATGTGAGATGGAATCCATCCTGGGCATTGGGACTATATTTATCCTTCAGAGAAATCTTGCCCCCAGAAGGCATTAGACTGGGATGAAATACATTGGAGGCATATTAAATTTTATTTGAACATTGATTGGAGGGGAAAAAAAGAAGAAAGGAAAAGTGAAATAGGATGAAAAATAAGGTGACTAAAAGAGAGAAAAGACAGAGAAGCTTGGTAATTACAGAACTTTTTAAGCAAGATATTTTTTTTTCCTTTCACAAGTTAGAAGCTATTGAATAATTCATGCCAAGTGTGGAAAGGCTGCCTTTTCCCTGGGTGATGTATAACTAAGCAGGAGTGAGCTTCAAATGGGATCATCGCATCAGCCACCACTCTTTCTTCTGAGCATAGGGTGCTCTCCTGAGCTCGGCTTCTGCTTTTGCAACCAAGCACATCGCTGCTGCCTGCCCGCCCGCCTGCCCACCTGTCTGAGCTTGCAGCCCACCACTTTCCCCAGCCCCGCTGCCGGCTGAGAAGTCTCCCTGAAGCTGCTGGTTTCTGCCTAGGACCGTGTGTGGGGATGCTGCTTGGGAGAAGCAGGCACTTTGCTCCTGGCACTGATCCTAGCTGAGTTTCTCCTGTTGATTTCGGGACCAACAGATGCTGCTGCTGAGGAGGTACTTCTTGACATCTCTCCCTCTGCTACCGCCAGCTAAGGACCAGCCCAAAAGTAAGATACCCTCAATCTCTTCCCCCTGGCATTTTCCCCAGCTAGGATACCTTTGCTATTTCTGCTTTCTTCTGGAAACTAGGGGCTCCATCTGGCAGAATTCCCAGTTTTGTGTGTGTGTGTGTGTGTGTGTGCGCGCGCGCTTGCACGTGTGTGCGCTTGCACATGTGTTTAGGAGGAAGAAGAGATTGTTCTTGGCATTGCACTGTCCTAGGGCTTCCCAGGTGCCTGCTGAATGCAAAGAGGTCTTTCTCCTGGCACTGGAGACATTTCCGAGGCAGGCACCTGTCATCTGCCACCCCCGTTCTCCTGGAGCTCCCTGTCCTCCCCTCCCCCAGCCCATTATTCTGCTTTAGCCTTTTGTGTCGCTGGCAGCGGGCTGAGGGGATGTCTTTGCCCTCTTGGCAGGCGGGTGGCAGGATGGGCCGCGCTGCGAGAAGCCAACGCTAGAGAGCGAGGTGTGAAGAGTTGGCCAGAATGACCAACTCCTCCTCTACGTCCACCTCCTCCACCACCGGGGGATCCTTGCTGCTGCTCTGCGAGGAAGAAGAGTCGTGGGCGGGCCGGCGCATCCCCGTGTCCCTCCTGTATTCGGGCCTGGCCATCGGGGGCACTCTGGCCAACGGCATGGTCATCTATCTCGTGTCGTCCTTCCGAAAGCTGCAGACTACCAGCAACGCCTTCATTGTGAACGGCTGTGCAGCCGACCTCAGCGTCTGCGCTCTCTGGATGCCGCAGGAGGCGGTGCTCGGGCTCCTGCCCACCAGCTCCGCGGAGCCCCCGGGGGACTGGGACGCCGCCGGGAACAGCTACCGCCTGCTGCGGGGCGGGATGCTAGGCCTTGGGCTCACCGTGTCCCTCTTATCCCACTGCCTAGTGGCTCTGAACCGCTACCTGCTCATCACCAGGGCGCCCGCCACCTACCAGGCGCTGTACCAGCGGCGCCACACAGCCGGCATGTTAGCGCTGTCCTGGGCGCTCGCCCTGGGGCTCGTGCTGCTGCTCCCGCCCTGGGCGCCGCGCCCGGGGGCCGCGCCGCCGCGCGTCCACTACCCGGCGCTGCTGGCCGCGGCGGCGCTGCTGGTGCAGACGGCGCTGCTGCTGCACTGCTACCTGGGCATCGTGCGCCGCGTGCGCGTCAGCGTCAAGCGGGTCAGCGTCCTCAACTTCCACTTGCTGCACCAGCTGCCCGGCTGCGCCGCAGCCGCCGCCGCCTTCCCGAGCGCCCCGCACGCCCCGGGCCCCGCGGGGGCCGCGCACCCCGCGCAGGCCCAGCCCCTGCCGCCTGCACTCCACCCGCGGCGGGCGCAGCGGCGTCTCAGCGGCCTGTCGGTGCTGCTGCTCTGCTGCGTCTTCCTGCTGGCTACGCAGCCCCTGGTGTGGGTGAGCCTGGCCAGCGGCTTCTCGCTGCCGGTGCCCTGGGGCGTGCAGGCGGCCAGCTGGCTCCTGTGCTGCGCCCTGTCCGCGCTCAACCCGCTGCTCTACACGTGGAGGAATGAGGAGTTCCGCCGCTCCGTGCGCTCCGTCCTGCCCGGCGTCGGCGACGCGGCGGCCGCAGCCGCTGCCGCTACGGCCGTGCCCGCCATGTCCCAGGCGCAGCTGGGCACCCGCGCCGCGGGCCAGCACTGGTGACCCCCGGCCAGGGCCCGAGGCAAGCGGAGGTGCCGGGCATTCAGCGTCCTTGGGCACCATCGCTTCCTGTCCGTGTAAAGTGTCCCCTGCCTGAACGAAGACTCCTGCAGAGGCGGAGCCCAATTAAACCCGTGCCAAGGTTTCGCCTTTAGCACCTGAACCAAGGTTTCTTCCTTAATGGGGAACCTGAAATCATTTTGGACGGTTACCTGATTTTAACTCATTGTTTCTGAGTTTTAGAGAAATCCTTGAGTCCAAACTTTGGACACTTCAAGACCTTGCACACTGACGTTTTAAAAGAACCTGTTAATTTATTTCAACCCTTTTTGAAAAAGCTTTGATAACGTATTACCATTCCCACTTTCTTTGTCTTATATATGAAGCTCCTTGAATGTGCATATTGATGAAGGAAATAATATTTAAGATGTATTTTAGAGAGTTACTCATCTTTGATGCTGTTTCTCTTATAATTTAGCTTTTCTATATTAACCCAATGAATGAAGCCACAGATGTGCACAACATTGAGTTGCCATTAAGACCTCAAACTCTTTATTCTTAAAAGAGTTTTTATAAAGTAATATCATTCCTGAATGAGATAGAATCTTAGCCAGTGAGGGGGAAAACACCTTAGATTTACTATTTTACACTGCTTTTTGCACTTCTAAGACTGAAAATTGGCATTGAATGTTAAAGTGAAGAATTTGCATTGTGCTGATCGAATGTCTGGGTCAGCAATGGAATTTTGAAAACAAATAAGGGGATTTATCTATTTTAGGTACCAGTTTCACTTTCTTATAGCATGCACACTTGTTGCCCTCTTTTTGTAATCAATTTATTTGCCTTATGAGTGTAATTGCAGCTTTGAACATTCTATACTATAATGGTTGCTAAGGAGAATAAGACCTGTTTTCTCTTTAACATTTAAAATATCTCAATGCACATAATATAATTAAACACTAATAATACCATGACTACATAGCTAATATTAGTTGCTATTGCATGCTCCTAGATGCTAGAACGTATTGGGCATGTGGTATACTAAAGCAATACCCATTAGGCAAAGGCATTTTACTTCTTTCAGACACGGAAGAAGGGGCCTTCAATTTTTTGAAAAGAGACACAGAGATACATACCTCTGGCTACCTAGACTTCATCTTGTCTTGACCCAGTTTATGAGAAAACTCCCACTTGGGACTTTATCTTGCAAATGGAACCACAGTCAAGATGGATCAATAATATGGTTTGGCTCTGCAAAGCAATTGTGTTCCTTTAGGGTTTAAACAAGCCACATATTAGAGAGCAACACTGTTTTTTTTTATGTAGTTCATATGTATTACCATGACACTTAACATTAATATTGCGTCTGTTGAAGGAAGTATAATCAACTTAGTTATATATAACAAATAGTTCAAATGGGAATTATTCTAAAATTCGGGGCTGTATGATTTGAGGCTTGTAATTTTTATCTTTGATTTATTGATCTAGAAATATATGGAACAGAAAATTGTGTGGAATCACTTTATAAAATTAAAGTGGGAAGAAAGTTATTTTAAATAATCATGTCTCAGCATTCTGACTGCTAACTACATCAATGATGGGGCCAAACAGACTAAATTAACTGTGTAATTCATGAACAAAAATAGCTTGGTTTGTTGCATTCCTGGACATTACAAGCCAGGATAGTGGGAACACTTGTGCATTTGAATAAAATTACGGGAGTTGTAGGAAACTTTGACATATTTATAGTAAAACCAAACCAAACCAACATGTCCATCACCAATAATAGATCAGCAGTCATTTTATTAATCTATTCCCCTTTGTGCATGTACCATATCTCTTACTAAAGTTTCATCAGTTCCCATTTTCCTTGATTCAAATATTTAATTAAAGTTCAGACAACAAGTCTTCTGAGTTTTTTCTTCTGTCTCTGGTCTTTTATATCTCCTTGAGAACATTATAACAGATGACACTATATTCCATACCACTAGTGATGAAAGTAACTTCTTTGTTCTGGCTTTATTTAACTTTATTTTTAGTTTCTAAAGTTATTTCTAACATTTAGAATGAAATAGGGTCTGTAGGCCAGCACTAAATATATAGGTAGAATTTCCTTTCTGTAAGCCTAATTGATTTGGGGAATAGGCTGCAACAAAAACAGAGAACAGAAGATCTTCCTTTTGGGGGAACGCTGGGGGGGCACCCCTATAAAACAGGTCTTTTTAAAATTAGGCCTTTACCCATATTTCTCACTGTGGATGTTGCAAAAGACTTCTGATGTTCCTATGAACATTCGCTATGCATATAAACTTAGCTAACACTAAGAAATGGCTAACAATGAGAACCATCTTATGCTGGCTCCGTGCCATGTGGGAGACCTACTTTAGGTAATATTTACTGGTAATTAACTCCACAGGACTGATTCACTTTTAATTTCGAAGTAGCAATGATGTGTCTAAAAATGCTTCACTAGGACAATAGCTGGGAGTGTTGGAGTTACTGCTTTTATAAATTAAGTTAATGGAGATTGTGTTCCTATTTAAATGAAACCATATATTATCCACTCAGGAATAAAAAATCCTAACTGCAGTTGTGGGCTGCCCTACTTTGCCATTTCTATAGTTTTTCTTTAGGTATGTACCTGTTAAAATATCTAGCAACTCTTTCCTTTGCACTTTAATGGCAGAATTCTAGGATGTAATAGCTATTACTCCTAGCACTTTCCTCCTTCCAAAATGAAGCATGTGCATAAACAATAATTCTGTTTTGTACAGAGGCAACTGCGGGTGGTTTTTGTTTTAAACACTAAGAGCTTTAACTCTCTGATAAAGCCCTTGAAAAGGTCTGCTCATTGAGCGAATGTTGGTCCACTTTGGCTCCATGGTTCAGTGATTTCTGTTACTCTGATGACAACTGTATTGGCCATTCTTTGTTTCATATGTAACCTTTATTCTGTTCTCCCAGCAACTCAGACAATGCTCATCTAGCTCTTTGGCAGTCTTAGGAGCTGGCTTGACAAAGGGTATCAGTGGCACACATTTAAATTCAAGAGCATGGAGAAAAATTATAGATGCCCCTTTCAGAGGTCTGCCCTTAAAATTTGTGGGTTGTGGGGCAAGAAGGGAGCTCCAGATGGGAGCTCTTGGTCTGCAGGAGCCAGTCAGGGAAACCCTTTCTGCCTCTACTCTTCCTTCCACACATATGTGAGTGGGACTCTGCCCCAAGCTCTGTCCCACCCACCTCTCATCCAGCCACCTTGACCACCTCTAAGATCTAGTGGTGCACAGACACCTGGTAGAGCATATCCTGGAAGTGTCCCTGAGACATTTAGGCAGGGATTTCCTGGGTTCCAGGTACCAGGGATCATTGAGGGAGGCACAGGCCCCTACTGGGCATGTTTCCTCAGGACCCCTTTCGCTGTGGGAAGGCAAGTGGCCACATGCAGGTGGGAGCAGACCCTGTAAGCATGAGCAGGGACCTCCGTATCTTGAGTTTAAGAGTACTACTGCCTTCACTTAGGTCCTCAGTATGCTTTCCTGGCTCCTCCCACCTGCAGGGACTCCTTAGATAGATGCCACACTTAAGGTTTCTGCAAGTACTCACACTCTGCCCAATGCAGGTGATGGTGAGGAGGGAGTTGGGAGGATGGAGGTGAAGCAAGGAAGGTAGATGTTGAAAGTAGTTGAAGGGGAATGGTGGGCACAGGGGATGTATTGCACTGTCCTCTTTACTTGTGCATATCTGAAAAGTTTCATAATGGAAAGTTGAAGCCAAAGCCAGAAAAGAAGAAAGAAGAAGGGAAGGAAGAAAGAAAAAAGGAGGCAAGAAAGTAAAGAAAGAAAAGTAACTTATGTGCCTAAGGTCATGGGCAATTAAAAGGAGGAGCTGAGATTCAAACCTTGTCTGACTCCAAGTGTGAGGTGGTAACTATTTTACTGGTAGGATAAAACAGGAATTTTGTAGTTAGGTGTGGAATTCCCTCCATGAAGTGGCCATTCTCTAATTTCCAGGGTCTCTCTCTCCCCTACTTGCATCCTTCACTGTAGCTAACTGGTCTACAAACTGCCTTTTAAACATGGCCTGCGTTCTGTGTCTGAGCTTTGTTTATTCAAGGACCTTCCTGGAGTGTCCTGGAAACTTGTCACTTACCCAACCCCCATCCCTCCTTACAGGAAGGCTCACTTAGCTTCTGCATCCTCGTGAAAGCCCCCCACTTCCACCTGTCAGTTCCCCTGCCATGAGCTCTGCCTCCCCAGAACTCCTGAACTACTTTGTTCTTAGCACAGATTCCCTTGTATTGTCTCTGTTTTAACATGCGTGTCAAATTCAAAACTTGATAAGAAAGGTTTTTTGGCTTATTTTTCATTCCTTTGATATTTTTTAAGAGTGAATACTGTCTTTTATCTTTCAGTAGCCAGTGACCCGAAATACACTAGGTAATTAATATATAATTAGTTTATGATTAATTAATATATAATTAGTTTATAGTTGAAGATAGTGATTTTGGAAGAAAAGAGATTTGGTCATTTCCCTTGCATGTATATTTTTCACTTTAATGAAACAGACCCCAAAATAAATCCTATCTCCCAGCTCATACCTTGCCAAAGGATATCCCAGAGCAGGAATGGATGGGGTTATATGTAAATGTGTAAGTCACATGCTCCCAGTGCTGTTGTTTGGGGGAGATTTATACTCCCGTTATCTAAGATCTGGTCACACTGACAAAAGGAAAAATAAGTTACTGTCCTAATTACTACTTACATTCAGGGTCTAATTACTGAACACATGTTCAGTAATTACATGTACAATTATTTCTTGGGACCTTATATGGAAAAGCTGTGTATTTTTGATTTCTAAAAGCCTCAGACACCCCTAATCAATGACCGTGCTGTTTTGCTAGAACCCTGAGAGGATAATCTGTGGGGATGTCTGTATCTCTCCCTGTCAGCTCACTGGATGACAGACCTGGAGACCATCCAGTCCAGCTCCCTGCTATTTTTATTAGACAGAAAGTGCTTTAATTTTTAATCTTTCCCAGTATAAATCAGGTCCATTTCCCATTTTTCTATTCTCAGGTAGTAGAAAAGTATGTAGTATCCTTTGTATAATCATACTGTAACAGATAACTCTGCTTTTAGCTGAATGAAAATTTGATGAAATGTCGACATGGTTGAATGCCCCTATTAAAATTTGCCCTTATGAAAGTTTTAATCTTGAAAAATAAATTTTTCTCTCTATCTGAAGATTAGTGTCTTTTTTTCATAGAAAACTTGTAAAGTACAGAAACATTGAAGAAACTGTATCATCCATAGTTCCACTTCCCGAAGATTACCACTTTTAACATCTTACACATTCATCTACTCTTTTTTAAAAATATCTTTTCTTACATATACTTAATTGTGCACAATTACAGCCAGAAAGTATACTGACATATATTATTTGTGTGTGTGTGTGTGTGTGTGTGTGTGTGTGTGTGTGTGTGTGTATGCACTTAGCTATATTTAAAAAGTGTAACCAGAAAACAGATGTTATACCGAGAGGCCTAGATACTATTTGCTGTTAATGCTTGTAGCAGTTAGGACATGTTCAACTACAAGTAACAGACTACCTAACTAAAAAGGGCTTAGACAATGAATGCATTTCTTCACAAACAAGAAGTCTGCTGGTAGGTACTTCTCTGTTCAGCAGCATCCTGATGTCATCAAGGGCCTAGGCTGTTTGCATCTTTCTAGTCCATAACCTCAATGTTGTTTAACGGTTCCAAGGTGGCTGCTGTAAGTCCATGAAAGAAACAACAGAGGCAAAAAGCCTTGCATGTCTCTCTCTTTAAAAAGAGAGGAAACTTGAAGAACCTCCCGGGAAAGACTTCTCTCATCTCACTGGCCAAAAGTAGGTCACCTGACCACTCCTAAAGGAAGCTGCGCTGGCACAAAAAAGAATTATCATGAGCAAATCTATCCAGTGCTTGTCAATATACAGTATTTCTGGTTTCCATTTGTGCTATTCTCGACCTACTTGGTGGATTGTATGTCTTTTTCAGAACTTACAGCTGGACTGCAGGTTAAAGTGAATGGCTCCTTGTGCAGTTTCCAATGTCCTGAAATCATTTATTGGGAGGCTGTGGTGGTGAAGTAGGATCTTCTCTGACCCCTATTAGTTATCTTTTTGACAGTGAACAGATGGGGCATGTGAAGAACTACAACCTACTAGGCCTCTGTGTTTCTGTCCCTCTCATGGCTGTTTTCTGACTGCAGAAAGAGAACTTGGGCTGGGGGTGGAGTGGGCAGAAGGTGAGCACAGTGCTCAGGCTTCCTCAAACATCAGCACTGGGGCAGTAGGTTTGTTTCAGATTGTGATCAGAGCATTGGGATCTGGAGGTAGCCAGTAAATAGCACTCTCTCCACTCAGTTGAGTTTTGGACCATGTGATAAATAAGTATGTAAAATATGTGCAAATGATGAACCACGATATCACCTCTATATTGATAAAGGTTGGGTTAGAGGGTATAACTGAATGTGAGTGCCAAAATGGGCTTACTGACTCCCTTCCTACTTGTTCAGTCCTTGAAATAAGCAGGTCAATGAACTCTCATGGTCCAGGTAGAGAGGAAAGGGGAGAGACCACATCTCTGGCTCAAGACCTTGTTCAATTAGCTCCCTCTACTGAGAAGCTTGATTGGTGGCTATTGCCTATCCACTAGGTAGCTCACTTTACCTCCAAGAGGTAGACTCTAAGATGGGGCAAGAGTAGCAAAAACACCTTCTCATGGAGACCAGAAGAATGGCAAAAACACATTCTCCTTGAAAACCATAGACTCTGTGATGGTGAACAGTCAGGAGAGACAGCAGACTTATGGTAGCATCACTCAGAGGAGCCATGGGCCTGCACTCTATACGGTTTCATCAATGAGAGGAAATGT